AACAAAGTTGCAGGATACAAATTTAATATACAAAAAGGAATGTTCCATCTGCTCATGTTGGCCCTGTAGATCCTTTTCTTCCAAGATTTGACGAATCTTATGCATAGATGGGTGGGAGATGAGAGGGCTTAAACAGAGAGGCCTGCATTTGTGGCAGACTAACACGATGCATACTGTTAGGAGATTGTAACAGAAGTAGATATAGACTCAGGCTGAATAAAGATGAAAAACACTCCTATCTGGGACTTAGGGTACATGCAAGTTGTCAAAAACAAATAGCATTAATTAAGTCCCTAAATTTGTACATCAATATTCTAAGTATTATATTAAATTAACTAGGATGTTGGAAAATATGTTTAATATAATAATTCCAATAAAAAATGATCCACTTTCTTTTTACCTGGTTTATTCTCTTATACTGTTTTCAAGAATTATATCAATTAATATTTATGTAGTGTAATAGAATTTTTAAGCATTCTTACATACACAAATTTAGTCAATTATAATTTCAATGACTCTGAAGAATTCTTTGGTTCATTCATAGACGTAAAAATTAGTAAATTATTTCTCTCAAGAGCATATTCCAAACTATTTTCTTACCATTAAAAGCAATTTGGCTGTTGAGATTATTTGTTTTCTGACTGTGTTTAACTAAATGAAATAAACTATCCAAGTTTTATCTAAAAATATTTATTTTTTATTTGCTGGTATATATTAGTTCTTTTCTATTAAATGGAATAATAATAATATTAATAGGTAATAGTCATCACACACTGTGTAGCAAGAACCATGCTAATTACTCAGATGTTTTATATTATTTAATCCTCACAACAGGAAGACTGTTTTATTATTATATCAGTTTTTGCAAGTGAGGAATGTTAGGCCCAGAAAAGGAAGTTTACTTGCCCAAAGTCACACATCTTGACAGAGCCAAAATTAGAAAGCTTTGTCAGGTTGTAGAGCAGATGTTGGCAAACTACCGAATTTTTACATGTGGGTCGAATATAGTCTGTCACCTAGGTATGTATGTTCCATACTCTAAGAATGGTTTCTACATTTTGGTTTGAAAAAAATCAAAAGAATAATAATATTTTGTGACATGTAAAATTTTATTGTCTATAAAGTTTTATTGAAACAGCCTCTCATTTGTCTACATACTATCTATGGCTGTTTTTCACTCTACACTAGCAAAGTTGAGCAATTGTGACAGAAACTGCATGGCTTACAAAGCCTAAAATGTAAACTATATGACCTTTGTAGAAAACTTTACAGAAAGTTTACAAAAAAAGCTAACCTTTGTTCTAGAGTGCTAGTTCCTGTCTGCCTCACAATTATAGCCACTACAGGGGCAACGAATTGTTACAATGCTAAATGAATTGCTTAAAATTATTTGGCCATGTAAGAGACAGAATCAGAATAAAAATTAGGACTTTTTATAGCTAGCCCCACATTCCCAATATTATACCATTGTTTTTGCTATGAGACAGCTAATTCACACACTTCCATAGGAAAAGAGCCTTGTCATTTACATGGATATTTAATTTAAAAAATTAAAGTATAAACAAAAAGATGATTCTTTAACAGTCTAATTTTTATTATTTGTTTTGAATATTTACCACTATTTATTTGGTCTTAGCCTAGAAATATGTAATTTTATAATATTGCTATACAAAATTTGGGTTTAATAAATATACAGACACATTGCCATATGTGTATAATCTAATATATGCTAAGATATGTACAACTTAAGACAGAACTTCTAATTTATCTGTATTATAACATCCCAATTAAACCAATTCTTTTGCCAAATTTGACAGTCTGTTATTTAATTAAATTCTTAAAATGCTCAAGGAAAAGTTTACTTGAGAAATGCTACATTATGACAGTATTAAATATCTCTTCCAAAATATTTGTCTTCCAAGAGCACTCAATAAATTTAATTTAACATGATCATTGAATGTCTAATGTTCTCAGAAAAAAAAAAACCCTAAAGTAATTAAAACCAGATCCTAAAAAGTCAATACTGAGACTCCAGACAATCTGTACATGTTGTGGTTTCCAGTAAAACATGAAAATGAGGTAATTTTTTATTCTTATTATGTTTGTGACTCTTGCAAAAACTAACAAGGGTAAAAATGTTTACTTTCTCATTATTCACTTTAAATCATTATGTAGAATATAGGTTTTAGATGTCTTGTGCTAAAAAGAGAATCTCCTGTAGTCACCTCTTAGAAGTAACAAGAAAGAATTCCTGATAAATTGTGGATAATCTAAAATCTCAATTTAATTACTTTATTTTACTCCTTTATTCTCTCTTTTGTAAAACCAGAGGAGGAATTGTGGAATTGACGTATGTGTCACTTTCTCCTCCCATTCTTTGTCCCATTTCTTTTGGAACTTAATAATTGGGCTGGAGGAAGCACAGAGGAGAAATTACCACATGTCCAGAAGTGTGAACCTTACAAACTTGGAAGGGGTAAAACTGGATAAAAGGCACAACACACACACACACACACACACACACACACACTAAAAGCAGAAAAAGAGAGATGATGAATTTTTTTTATGTCAACTTGAATAGAACAGCTGATTTTATACAACTAATAATTAAATAATTCTGTATTTCTATGCTCCTGTATTCCTCCCTTTTTATTTTCTCTTTTAGATTACTGAAAATAAATGCACACCAATTTTTAAAAGATTACAATTTTTTAAAGCTATGCCAAACTTAGCCGTATGATCATATAGTTGGCATATAGGTAAATACTTTCATTTAAAATCTCAAAGCACATAAAAATTGTGTAATTTTCAGGCTCCATAGTATGAAAATAAAAATGCCTGGAACCCACTTCAAAGAGAAATGCAGAAAGTGCTGGCTTCCTGATACTCAGCCTTAGACTTTGATCAGCACTCTCTCATCTCAAGGAGCATTTTAAAAATTAAGAGGCTATGTCATCACCATGGTAGGTTTCAATTCTTCTGAATGATTTGTAGTTACTGGTCAAATGTAATTGATCACCATATAAGAAACATAATCCAATATGAGAAATTTTAATATTTAACTATTTTATTTTAATAAACTTTGTTCTATCATCTTGTCAAAGACTTTCTGAAATCCTGACTAGATCATACTTATGGATAAAGTTTTGTGTAAATGCATATTTAACCCTTAAATGAACTGTGATAAGTAAATCATGGTTTAACCTGAGAGGAACATTTTGGCTTTTTCTCCTAGTGGATTGCACACATCTAAATGCTTTGTAACCCTTTTTGTCATTGTAGAGTTACAGTATTGTCTTATATGGAAGTTATTTGTCCTCTCTGTGATCTTTGTTTTGAAGGATAGTGTTTGTTCTTTTTAACTCTTTATACAATTGCATATACTACTAAGCACATTTCTTAGAGACTTCTTAGAACTTTAGTACCCAGGGTTTGAAATTGGGAGAAACTGACATTGCTTGGTAGGCATGGCTCTTAAGGATTTCTTAACAGTGTTACGTTTTCCCCTTAAGTATCATTACATTGTCCAGACACAATGAAATATAGCAAAAGTAATTTGAAAACAATTTTTCCCCACTAAGCCATGTTGTCAATCAATCATTTAAAATAGCAATTCTCCATTTCTATTCTTCATTTTTCATAAAACTATAGTTAGATTAGTTTATTGAGGAGGTACAGGACTGGACCAGTCATTTAAGCCCTCTGGGCCTTACTTTCCTCACCTGTAAAATTAAGGAGATGGTTTAGATGTTTCTAAGATTCCTTTAGCTCTAGAACTCTAGAATTTTATGCTAAAGTCTAGAGCTCCAGAGCACTATTTGACCTGGCACCGCTATAGATCACCAGTTTATATAACATTCTCCTATTAGTCATGATAGAATGTCTTGTAAAGTTCATTTCAAATTCATGGAAGACAACTTCAAGGTTGCCATTCTCTGTTGACGTCGCAACTATCACTTGTGTTATTTTTCCACTTGTAGGATAAATCTTTTTACTTCAGTAAGAGTTTTTTTCCCTTCCTTCCTTCCTTCCTTCCTTCCTTCCTTCCTTCCTTCCTTCCTTCCTTGAGTGAAACTTGCTTGAGAAGCTCTTAGTGCCCAGAATTCCCTCTCTGTCTCTCTCTCTGTCTCTCTGTCTCTCTGTCTCTCTCTCAATCTCTTTCTTTTTTTTTTTTTTCATTTTTTCCTACTTTAGTCCCAGGTTTTCATGAGTGGCAGGGGTTATGAACTCTCAGGACACTTTATGTGGCACTTCCAATGTATTTAACAGTTTCCACATTCCTGGGTTATTGGTTCCCTTTAAAAATGTTACCTTCCATGATTTACTAATAGGTAACCAGATTCTATCCTACTTCAATACATGTATGACACTTGATTCTGTTTTCTCTAAGCAGCACATTGAGATGTTTAATGTCATGTTGTAGCTTGCTCACAATATCTACCTTATGACTTCTTTTACTTCCCTCAATACCAGGTCTAAGAAATTTACCTTTCTCATTAATTCTTGAAGTACCAAATTGAACATGTAATCATTTATCCTATTCAATTACCTATCTCATGCTTTCCATTCTGGGAAGTATGCTGCTAATTGTGTTCGAGTAACTTAAGTTCCTAATTGTTAAGTATCTGGTATATTTTTCAATTTTCATGGTTAGATTATATAACATTTCTATATACAGATACCTTCTTACATGATAAGACTTTACCATATTAAATTTCATCATTATCCAAGTGAAATGTCTACCTATCCCTAATTATCCTATGAGTCTAACACTGAGAAGGGAGAGAGTAGATGGGAAAATGAGAAAACAAATCCTCTCAGTCACTTAGGTGGCAGAGACCTGACTAAAGGCCAGGAGTTGATCTTGTCTCAACCAAGATCACATAAATGTTGTTATATTTCCAATACACATTTTTTTTCTACCGTGACATACAAAGTTTATTCAATTCGTGCTTAATTTTCAATCTAAATTCTTTAACAAAATGACTTAATTATCTTACCTGAATTCCAATATCGGTGATTTTGTAACACTCAGATAGAGAAAGGTCCTTTAATTTTCTATGTCTGGAAAGTATCATCAAACCCTAAAAATATTTAACATAAAGATCATTTTGTGATTCTAATTTAGTTACAATGTATATAGCCAATAAGATAACAACCATTTATAAAAACTAAAAAAAACTTAGCTTCTGTCTTATCTTTCTTTACACTTAACAAATCATAAAATCACTTTGCTTAGGCAACATCATTAAACAAAATTTTCAAGTCGTCTCCATCTAAAGTTTTACAAAACGTGTCACAATCTCAGACTCAGAAAACTCCTTATCTTGCTACTTGATTCCAGGGAAATGTTATCGGAATCAATATAAACAAATCTAGAGGACCCCTAAACATATAATTTTATTTTGAAGACATTTAATGTGGCTAATGAATCTATTTGTCAATAAATTCTTATTTTTGCCTAACCTAAAAATTTTTAAATCTTTAGCTCATTTTATTATGTTTAATTGCTGGAAAAGAGAGGAAACAAATCTTTATATAAAGGCTCATAGACAGGTAAATATTCATCAATAATTCTCCACTTTTTCAGTTTAAAAGCCTTGTTTCTTTTTATTGAAAAAAAATAGATCATCCTTTCAGCCCTTAAAATTTAAAATATTTTTTAAGTGTAGTTGATATATAATATTATATTAGTTTCAGATGTAAAATACAGTGATTCAATATTTATATACTTTACAATGTGATCACTGTACTAAGTCTAGTAATCATCTGTCACCATGTAAACTTATCACAATAATATCAATTATATTCCTCCTCAACTTTTTCACTTATCCCCACCACACCCTTCCCCTCTGGCAACCATGAATTTGATCTCTATTTCTATGAGTCTTCTTTTGTTTTGTTTGTTCATTTTTTTGTTTTGTTTTGGTTTGGTTTTAGATTCTAGATATAAATTAAACCATATGGCATTTGTCTTTGTCTGACTTATTTTACTTAATATTTTCAAAGTCCATCTGTGTTATTGCAAATGGCAAGATTTTGTTCTTTTTTATTGCTGCATAATATTCTATTGTGGTGAGTGTGTACATCTTCTTTATCTATTCATCGGTTGATGGACACCAAGGTTACTTTCATATCTTGACTATTATAAATAATGCTGCAGTGAAAATAAGGATGTATGTATTTTTATGAATTAGCATTTTCGTTTTCTTCAGATAAATACCCAAAAATGGAATTGCTGGGTCATAAAGTAGTTCTATTTTTAGTTTTTCTGAGGAATCTCCACACTCTTTTCCATAGCGGCTGTACTAATTTGCAATCCCACCAATGGTGGATGAGGGTTCCCTTTTCTCCACAAGCTTGCCAACACTTATTGTTTGTTTACTTTTTATAATAGCCATTCTGACAGGTGTGAGGTGATATCTGATTGTGGTTTTGTCTTGCTGTCCCATTTCTCAGTACCTTCCCCCCTAAAATGGTGTAACATTCAGATAACAATCTGACTAATGTGTCTTATAGATGCCATTCTCCTGTTTGCATTTAGGATCATAGAGCTGGCTAGAAGGGAAAAATACCAAAAATAGTATATAAATTTCTCCTTTTAAAACTTTATTTGCAGGACTGGTTTACATTTTATTGATCCTAAACACATTTAGACCATAATTGAAAATGATTATGCAAATATATCTTGTTTTTTTTTTCATATTAGGCCCTTTAATTTAAATCAAGGAAAAGAGTGCATGAAATTCTTCTTAATTGAATCCACTGTTTAAACTACAATTTATAATTTCATTTAATGGTTTTGTACACTACCCCAAAATAAAATCACTCTGTTAGTTATTTTAATTTTATTGCAAATGTGGATTCTTTTGTTATTATGTTTTCTGTCTTCTTGTTTCAAAACAAAGAATGACCAAGCCCTGTGGAGCCATTGCATGTGGTCTGGGTTCCAGATGTGGATGCTATTTTATTCATGTTAGAAGAATTGGATTTAGATATCCGAATTTGTGCCAATTGTTTGAATAAAAATATTAAGTAAGAGATGCAAGGTTTGTATCTTTGCCCTATACTTGATAATGGCTAAGTATGTTTTACTATGCTATGGGGAATTTGTCCCATGAAACTATCTCTGAAGGTTTCATCTTTTTTTACTTTTATGTAGCCAAATTAGAACTTTTTAAGTTCATCTGGAAATGAAGTACATTTGCTAATTATTAAATTTAACAGTCTATATTCTCTTTAACTCTTTACCCCAAAATACTAAAAATTAATATTAACTAATATTAAATAGAATACTATATTTTATCACCATAGTTGTTAATTAAAATGTATGACCTCAAAATTTAATTAATTAACATCATTAACCTTTAGGTAAATGCAAATCAAAACCACAATGAAATACCACTATAAACCTACTAGGATGGCTATAATTAAGAAGACAGATAATAAAAAGTGAAGAAATTAAAACCCTCATCCACTGCTGATGAGAATGTAAAATGGTTCAGTCACTTTGGAAAATAGCCTGGCAGTTCTTCAAAAAGTTAAACATAGATTTACTATATAACTCAACAATTCCACTCCTAGGTATGGACCCAAGAGAAATGAAAATACATATCAACACAAAAGCTTGTACTCAAATGTTCCTAGCAACATTATTCAAAATAGAAAAAACATGAAATAAGCCAAATGTTTCAACTGGTGAAAGGATAAGTGAGATGTGTTATATTCATACAATGAAGTATTATTTGTCGATAAAAAAGTACTGATGCCTACTACTTTGGATGAACATTTAAAACATTATGCTGAGTAAAAGAAGCTAGACATAAAAAGCTACATATTCTATGATTTCATTTATCTGAAAAGTCCAAAATAAACAAATATATAGAAAGAGAAAGCAGATTAGTGGTTGCCTATAGTGGGCTGGAAGGTAGGTCAGGGATAGGGAGTGACTACTTATGGGAAGGGGTTTCTTTTCAGAATGATGAAAATGTTCTAGAATTGGATTGCGGTGATGACTGCACAACTTCATCAATATACTAAAACTATTGAGTTGGTACACTTTGAACTGATGAGTTTTATAGTATGTGAATTATATCTCAATAAAGATGTTTGTAAAAACTGAATTCATATAATAATTGTGTAACTATAAATTCGAAATATTTCTACAACATCCTTCAGTCTAAGATGAATACAGAAATTGCTCAGACCCAGATGGCCAATCTATTATTAGCAAGACAGGGAGCAAGATATGTCATCATCCTTATGTGCTGGACAAGTTATCATAAGGCCTTGCTGCTGTAAGTAAACACAACTTTGTAACTGAGTGGCAACAAATCTAAGCCAGCTGGAGGAGTTGAGGCCTCCACTAAAAACTGCTTCATGCTGCTTACGGGAGGCCAGCCTCTCTGAACAAGTGAAACACACTATTCTAGTCGACGGGATTCATTTTTTTAATAGCTTTCTGACTCAGAAGCTTTTCAGATTAATGACCTAAAGAATTTCAGAGCCAAATAGGTAAATGTTCTACTTGGCACCATGAGGTTCATAAATGCTCCAAATTAGGAGGTGTTCTCTGAAACAAGTAATGGTTCCAACGTTTTACAGACTTTCTTTCATTATACCTTTAGAAAGTCTTAAATCTCAGGTCTGGGCAAAATTAATTCATTTTTAATTCATTATTCATTTGATAAATATTTATTTAGCATGTATTATACAGATCAGGCTCTGGAATAGAAACTGGGAGTATAAAGGTCAATGAGGTACAGTATTTGCTCTCAAGAAGCCCACAGTCTAGCGTGGAACACAGACATGTACGAAAGATAATTATGACCCAGTGAAAGGTAAATATTGTGCACGTGGTGGTACCAAAGAGGGATGATGAGACCAGCTACCGTGGATTGGAAAAGACTACATGGAGGAGAATTGTGAGTGGGGAAGTATAAGTTACCAAGAAAACTATAAAGGGAAGGACATTCTAGGCAGAAGGAACAGAATGTGCAAAAGCATTAAGATATGAAACAGTATGGCATGCATAGATTTATAATGGATTTTAAAAAATTATCTGAAGAGTTGGCCAAAGAATTTCCCTGAACTAGAAAGCTGTGGGGTTTCATTTTCATTTTAATTTGATTAACGCCTTGTTAGATGCTTGAGATAAAAGTCCTGGGGGTTGCCTGGTGCCAAGCTTTTACTTTTGGGAGGGACAGAGAGAGGAGGGTGAGAAGACAAGGCAAAAATAAGGAGGAATGAGGAACCAGCAAGATAAAGTGACTGGGCCTCAGTGGGGCAAAAGGCAGATGGATGCTTGCTTTTCAGGAAAGTTGTAACATTGTGAAAATTTAAAGCCTCCTTCATTTTCTTCAAAAGTCAGCCATACTCATGAATGCTTTACAGGAAAGGTTTTGATTTTAAATTGTCGTAGGGTAACACACAGAGGTCATATGAGGATGTGAGGCCCCAGGAATTCACAAGAATGCTATTGAGCACTTTATTCCTTCATAGGCCATGGAATTGAGGAACCTGAATCTGAGGGGTCCAGGAGTCCCTAGTAAGTGATTTATATTACAGTTCTGGTATCAGGTCCAATGAAGGGAATGTCAAGACATAAGACTCAAAAGGCAGACTTCTATTTCTGAAGAAGCTGGAAACATGGCAGAGTGAGAGACGTCTTAGATCTCTCCCCTTGAAACAACAATAAGCTGAAATCTAAAACTCAACTAAAAACACCAAAACTGCACACCAGCACGTCTGAGCATGGGATCTGCGCATAGGAGCTACCACAGGTCAGAACCCCGGGTGTCGGGAGGTGGACTCGGAGAAATAAAGAAGCTGTCTCTAGCAGCTGCTGGAGTTCCTTGCAGGAGGAGAGGAAGGGATAAAGGTGCGGCAACTTTCCTGATCAGCCTGCCTGGAAGTGCCAGAACTTCTAGCAGCCGGCAGCAGGGTCCAGTCATCAGGGCAGAAAGCAGAGAAGCGGGACGGGACAACAGTAGATTTTTACCAGCCCTGGTTGCAAAACCAAGGCTGAGCCGTAGCCCCCAACTTTCAACTCAGAGGGCCCCTCCCCCCATATTCTCTGAGACCT